GTACTTCCAAATGGTTTTGACTAATTTTCTGCTGTTAAAGAAACATGCTTAAAATGAAATTTTTTCTTTAAAGTGAAACTTTTTTGTAATTCAGTTTAAGTACCATTTCTAGCATATTCTTTAGAAGGAAAGCCTGTTATCTCAGTATTAAGATAAGCAGCATATAGTGAATATTAATAAAAATCCATGGGAATCTGTTTATGACAGGAAATGTTCATTATAGAAAAAATAAACTGGAAAATAAACTACAACTGCAGTCTCATAGTTCAGTATTAGTAGTTCTGACCTGAGGAAAACAGCTTGGTTTGTTTTGTACTTGATTTGACCCTGAAGTTTTGACTGAGGCTTCTTCCTTTTGCAGATATAAATTTCACCCATAAGTTATTTTCCAGACCTTATTAAAGAAATTTTCAAGTCAGACATATAGATTTGAGACTACGGCTTTAGTTCTGACAATTTTTGAAGTATAAAAACAGATCAACCTTTGTATCGATTACTTCTCTTAAACAGAACTGGACTTGTGCTGTTTGAAAATACTTAAGTATAAAACCATAGGGAAACTTTATTATTTTAAATAAAAAGATCTGAAAACAAATTCATTACCACAGGGGGAATTTAATGCTTACTGATTGCCTGAACTATCCTCAAGCAATACTTCCAAATTCATGTTTTCTCTGCAATCTATGCTTTAACGTAGTAGAACTTCATTGTTCATCATATTTATCCATATATGTATTTAAGCAATCAAAGTGTCCAAAATCAACAATATTTATATTGGATACATGGAGACAGGGAATTAAATGTGATGATGATGTAAATGGCATTGATTGAAAAAGCTCATTTAGATAGTTACTATCAAGCATTACACTTTCTGGGTGCTTGTGACCTACATTATGATGCAGAACAACAAAGTATACAATTTAGTTCCTGCCTTATTATTCCAAGTGTATATTTCTAATTAATAGACTTGGTCTGCAAGAAGCCTGAAACACTACCTGTGAATCTGACTCTCACTCATTAAAATACTAATTCCTTCCCCACAATATGGATTTTTAAACCACATAGCACTATCATGCTTACGAAGATAACTGGAAAGGAGAGGAAGAATGAAAGGCATACAACTGCAAAATTAAGAGTTGCTGCTGTTCAGCAGACAAACTGATGAGTAAATTCAAATGGATGAGCCTGGACAGCGAAGAGTCAGGTTCCAGAACCCCCCTGGATAATGGGAAGGGCAAAATGAAGGTAGGAGTTGGGGAGGAATACAAAGATGTATGATTTCTATTCAGAAACACTAAGACAGGAAGATGAAACACAGGTCAAGAAGTGAGCAGTAGGATTGGGTGGTCTTAAAAACCTTTCCAATGAAACATGCATCAGAAGGTTTTTTGAAGTTTTCATAATACTTGGCTCATTCAGGATAATCATGGTACATCACTAATATTTACAGTATTCTATTACTAACATCTGTGTTAGCATGTAGGTGTTAGTCTATCAAAAACAGAGGGATTAATCTTAAAAGACATCATCAGTAACACTTTCAGATCAATTTTCTGGACAGCTTGATGGACAACAAGAACTGTGGGTCTCCCCATCCCGCCTCCTGTTTCTACCTCCACTCTTGAAGGATTATAGGAAACATTTATTGATATTTTGCACAAGACTGAACTGAAACAGTGGTGGGTATGACAAACTGCTTCCCTGGACCACACCACATTGAGAGGTAACAGCAGCTTTCCCTGTCCCCGCGCCTTAAAATGTAGGGCAGAGAAGCAGCTCTTGACCTTCTCTCTTCTCATTACAGGAAAAATAAAAATAATAAAAATAAATAAATCACAGGATTCTACCAGTTCAAGATCTTACCTCCAAGTACCAATATTAACCAATTCTGAAACCTTCAAAATACATGTAATATCTAGCTAATAGCTTCTAGATTTTCATCTTTATTTAGGATAGCCACCCCATTATTTGCCCTTTATACCTTTCCGATTCAGAAAATTATCTTCCATGAAATCAAACATTTCAGAAACAGATGCTGTACTATAAACTTGTCCCAAGTAGTGTCTGGATGGTTGCAGGCACCCAGGAGCACCAAGTCATTTGTTTTTACCATCTGTTCTATTTCCCAGAGCAGTAACTTGTATCTTTTCTTCTTGATTAGGTGGTCTACTCTAGAGCAAACTCTAAATTTAAAATATGCTTGATTTTCCCCTGCCTAAGTTTTTAAAAAAAAAAGTCTCATTTGAACTCATAGTCTTACAGCATATCAAGCCATATTTTTAGAAAGTACTTACATGTTTTTTCTGTCTACATATCATAAGTGGAAGGTAACCCATTCTGACACTCTAGTCAACACATCTATCCTACTACTTAAGATATTTTACAAGGCAAATATGACTTAACAGACGTAATTCTAAGTGACTTACACTAACATGTTTTCGAAAACCTGAAATGAAGCTTCCCTTCCCTCTCCTCTGCTTGACACTCTCATTTGAACTTTTACTCCCGGACAGTCAAGATATGTATATGTAAGTTCTCTCTCATTTTTGGTAGTATTTCATTACTTTGATCCGCTCCCCCCGCCTCAGCCTCCCTTTTGGAGTATAGCATTCTTGCACTCTTCTCCCACGACCCTGTTTTTAATTGTATAAAGTAACCATTCACCCAGTTGATTGAATTCACCAGTTCTCAGACACACATTTGTCAGAGGCATCTTTTTCTGATTATTACCTCCCCCATAATTTTCTTATTTAAAACTGACATATTATCTTCTCCCAAGAATTTAGCAGACCTTATTCTAGAAGTCCTTTGTTTAGTTTGTTTAGTAGTACCCACTCCAGAGGAGGACACTTCTCCCAAGAATTTAGCAGACCTTTTTCTAGAAGTCCTTTTGTTTGTTTAGTAGTACCCACTCCAGAGGAGGACAGCTCATTTACAACCACATTCCAGCCACCAAAATACAAATAACTTCTACTGCTTCATCTTTAAATAACCACTTGGGGCTCTGAACTGAGGTGCAATGATTTATAAGCACTTCATAGTAAATCCTGAGCTGACTATGAAGAATTTCAACATCTTCTCCTCTCAGTACAAACTTATATTTTGGTGGTTGTTCTTTTTTTAGGGGAGGATGCGGGGGTAAGAGGGAGGGAGTGTATCCTAAGCACCAGCTCCCTGCGTTACTTTCATATTCTGTATGTTAAGTCTTATTAAGTCTTGAAACACAAATGACTTTTTTTTATGGATCACACTTTTATATGCATTCATCCTTCAGGAACATAATTTACATGCATCTTTCATAGCACCAGCAGCATTTCTCCAAAACTAACAAGGTTTGTATTTTCAGTTCTGACACATCCTTTCAGTTTTATTTATCTATTTCCCCACTTAGTTCTGCAAGCAGTCACGTTTCAGACCTGAACAGAGAGAGTCCTCATACCTAGAAACACAGGGACAGGTATCATCCTTGTTACATCACATAAAGGAAACTAAAGGATTCTGGACACTACAGATAATACACTACTTTTGACAGATCCATAGCTAAATATTAAAAAAAGTTAAAAATAAGCAACTTAAAGTCAACTTTTATCTGAAGTTCTTATAAGAAATCTCTACATTTTTGTTCTGTTATTGTCACTGATCAATTCAGTAGGTCAGCTTCTAAAACAATAAACTGCCCTTCAGATAAGCAACCATTACAATAGTTGTATATATAAAAATAATGCAATGACACTTACCATGACATGATGCAATCCATAGTACATCAAAATGTCTGCTAAGGTAAAAATGTTTCCTGCAAGGTAAACTTTGTCTTCAAGATGTATGTTAAGATCCTAAAAAGGAAAAAGTCATCATACTGCTGTAATATTTTGTCTTACAAAGTCAATGCTGAGGCAATTGTTAAAAATAGAAAACTTCCTCTGGAGACCATGCATGTAAAACAAATGCCAGCTTTAATTTATCCCAACTCAGCAAAGGAGAAAAACATTAAAATAAGAAAAAAAATCTAAGAAGTGTTAAGATAAACTAAAATATCATCATTCTTTGACTGTGAGAATTCAATAAAATTTAAATGTTGGTCTCTAAAGAAAGCGCTAGCCAGCTTGCTGCCGATACATAATTTTTCACAATTCCCCCGTTTACATCCACTTAAATTTCTGTAAATACAAGTGTGATTTATTTTACAAATGAAGCTGACTCCACAGAAACATGCCCAAATCTGTCTTTTCTTGGCTTCAAGTTACTAGAATTAAAAAAATGCAAGAGTTGTGTATTATTTTTTTTATTACTACGGACAACTCAGAAGCACTGTTGTTACACGTTTTAACATTTGGTAAGTAGAAAATGCAGTCCTATGATCAAAGGAGAGCAAACTGCTCTTCCAGCATCAGCTTCTCCTGTCTTCCAGGACCCACTCAAGGCAGCTGGTCAGCCAGGTTCTGCAAATGTGTAAGAACCTGGGAAACACATAAGATCTTTCAAGCTCAATGCCAGAAACTCAATACCCATCGGCTGGTATCATTTGACACCTGCTTTTATTAACATTGGTATCACTGCTAACAATTCTTAAGGGCTGATACTGTCAATTCAGTTGCTATCTAAGTCCATATGAGGAAAGCACTGCTTCAACATCTTAAGATCATCTCTCTCTCTCAATAATTCCATATCAGAGGCGATCAGGGTGGGTAGAGGTGGCTTCCATTTAGGTTCAGTGAATAAATATTTCAAATCCATATTACTGAAAGACCCTTTTTCATGGCTTTCTGTATGCAGTCATTCTTTGCTGGAAAACATGAGGCCAACAGACTCATTGTTGCTTAAGTGTCTCACTTTGAGAGCACAGGCATCGTGCATCAGCTTGACCTCTTTACCTGTCCTTCCTTTTCTCCACATCTTACCTACTTCTCAGCCAATTTATGCACCCTTCCGTCCCCTACTTCCCTCTTTAGGAAGAAATGCAACAGCAAACAAAATTATCTGCTTTAACCCTGATTTCAGCATAAACAAGCTTTAGTTTCATAATATTCTTTTCAGAAATGCAGGAAAAGAGTTTCCCAGGTTTTCCTTGGATTTGGAAACTCTTAGTATTCCTCTGCTGGTTGAAAAAACCTGTAGTAAATGCACTCCTTTTTCTTCAGACGTCTCCTTAAGCCACCCTCTCCTCCCACCCCAGAAACAGAGGTAAGCAGCTTAAACATAACTAACATTTTTAAAATGTCCCTGAAATAATTTTTCAGTCTCACTTACAGTATGTTCCATTTTAAGGACTTTTATTTAAAAAAAAAAAAGTCTAGGGCAAGGAGAAGGGGGTTAATAACTAGCAAACAATTTAAAAATTACATTTAGTCTTAAGTATACTGCAGTTTTTGTGGTTCCATAATTTTAGTGATATGTAGGTATCCTACAGTGCAGACATAAAAAACCCAAACCCAAAATGCTGAGACTTGAAGACATTTGGCAAGTTTGACTCTGTTATGCCACCTTACTATTTCTTTGATAACCTCGTTCATGACAGGACTCCTGTACTCCTGCAATATTTAAACATCTTGTCTGCTTTGATTTCTTTTATTAGAGCAAATCAGGGAAAAATATTAACCCCTGCATAGTTAAAATTCTACAAGGTCATCTGCCCCTGGCTATGTAGCTTCTGTTCTTTAGACTGGTTTACTGCTTTGTTCATGTTAGTTAGCTCTCAAATTACTTTAAACATGTAAGTACAGTTCTGCGGAATTTCATACATGCAACGTGAAGGCAAATGCAACATTGAGATGAAAAAGCTTCCAGGAACAAAAAATATCTAGAGATGTGTTTACTAGAAAAAAAAAAAATCAAACTCTTCTATTCTGAGACAGATTCTCTGACCACCATTTTTCATTTTGATTAACCAGAAATTCAACAAGCATTATAATGAGAAGTAAGGCCACTGAAATGATATCCTTCCCCCCCTCCCCTTTCTTCTTAGTCTAGGCTACAAAATCAGGATTTTGTAAAGTAAAAAGCTTATCATCTCTGAAGGTATAATCAACACAGTCATTTCCCAGCTCAAAATTTTGGATTTCTGCACCAAAGAAGTTATGGCATGCTAATTCTTAGTTTTGTACATAGTCTGAGAGGTAGATTAGTTTCTATGCAGAAATACTGTCTGCCCAGTTGTTCAGGATGGGTTAATATCATACAAAGATGAGTTAACATAATACAAACAATAAATTTGTTCTTTGACTATACTGTGCATGTATACTCATAATAATAATAAAAAAAAAAATCCCTAAAACTAAAAGCAAGGTAAACCATTACAGCGCAAACAAGTATTTATTCTGATTCATCAAATTTTATAAAGTCAGTTAACCGAGCAAATGGAATTTGACAAAAATGGTTTAGTCTTGGATAAGTTACCATTATTTTACAATTCTGGTTTTGAACATATACTTTCCTCCCATAAAATATAGACAGATATTCCAATTTCATTCTGTAAGTCAAGCTAATTCAGAAACACCACAGTGTGATTTTTTTTTTTCATGTGCACTAGGCACATTTATTTAATCTTGCCTCATGGGTTATGCTTTCCATAGGTGATTATATTATTGGCTAATAGCCAACTGTGTTAAAATTCCTGAAAGCCAAGCTTTCTTAAGTGACCATAGTATTAAACTGAAATTGTGTTCCTGTCCTGGAGAGATTAATGAAAATATGAATACAAAACTGTATTTGAATTTCTATTACATCCAGGAAATTCAGGTCTCTTAGCTGTCATTTGTATCATTGTCTTTCATGTACCAAATGTCACTACCTAAATTGATAACGTATATACAATCCCAGCATTAAATGACTGAAATAGCCTTGGAAGTTGCTTGTAACTATCTGAACTTATTGTTACAATCCCTCAGGAAACCCTTTCTCAAATTTCAGACAGGTATTTAAGGCATAACTGCAGTTTGATGCACTAATACACACTGAACAACTGCAGCAATTCAAATTCCATTTTTGGGTATGCAGGGGGAAAAACAATGGAAAGAAGAGATGTTGCATTATTTATGGGCTAACCGATGGATTTCCATTTGCTTGTTCTATGGAAGAAAAAAAAAAATCCAATTTACAGCCCATATCTATAGCAACAGCTCAACACATCCCATCTACAGCACACTTCCGGCTACCCCACTGTATCACTTACTATCTTTTACATATGCAATCTAATTGTCTGTAATCCAACTCATCCATTAAGGCGACTGAATCCCTTCCAGTCACTGCAAGTTGAGACAGCAGCTCAGATAAGTAACAGTTGCTTCTTACAACGACTCAATAACTTGCAATGGATCTCATCATACTCCGATTGCGTTTTGGATATTTTTGTCCACAACAACACACTGCTGGTGTACGTGCTTCCCTTACACGCAGAAGCGCATCCTTTCAGTCAGCAGTATCCTCAAGGTCATTTATGCCCTGAATGCCTTTATATCACACCATGCAAAGACAAAGAGCTGAGCACTCTCAAGTGCCCCAGGCAAGCCTCTGACAATGCAGAACCCAAGAAAAGGATTCTGCAGCCATATCCAAGAAAAGCAGAATTGCACTGTTGGGGCATAGCCATATTTTTAATTCTAATGCGCAAGACTTTTCTGTCTAACTGGCAAACTATGAACTAAATCTGGTCTGGAAGAATATTATATTCAACACACTGAGTTTCCTGTAAGAGACAAGAAAAGTAATTGACAGATGTTGCTCAAATAATCAAAATCCAATCTTTTATACTGGCAAGCACACAAAACTGTCCTGGTACTAATAGAAAAAAAGAGAGAAGTGAACACAAAGTCAAAGTTTAAAAAGTGTTTGCCGGACAAGCTTGCCAAAGTGGATAGGCATCCCATGTGTAAGTCTGTCAAATAACAGTGTACAAGAATTGTGGATTAACAGCACGGACAGAGCATGGATTAGCCTGCTTACATATTTGTGGAAACAGTAATTTTTCAAACAAACACATTAAATAAGAATCAAAGCTCTCTTATTCAGATTTCTAACTGGATTTCATGATTACAGCCAAACAGCAGGAGAAATTAGGACAAAACTAGCTGAAATCATGGAACATTTTTGGTATGAGACACTGAAAGTAGTACACAAATTCTTGGTTATAATTATTCTTCAGACACTAGAGATTTCTACGTTTCTGTGGAAGCTTTTCCGTGAATTCAAGTACAAGGTCCCAGTTACTTAAAATACACCTCTGAAGATGGGGTGGGAAGGAAGAACCCTCAAGTTTTGGATATCTAAAACTGACGAAGCAGAGACATTCAAATCTCCTGAATGGAATTCCCTGACATTTAAGTAGACATTTGGGGGCACAAGTTTCACAAAGGTTCTCAATTCCTTCCCAGAAGAGTAGAAAAACTACTAATTATCAAGCACAACTACTCAGTAATTTTCAGATTTTTTTTTTCCTATGCAGCTTAATTTACCACTAAGCAAACATCAAAAAAGCAAAGGAAAATACTCTCTCATCCTGTGGAGAAGAAAGTTAACATAACACGTTGGATATTGTGTTATCACTGCTATTGGCAATCATCATTCCTACATATCTGGTGAAGAACAGTCCAGATGCATTGTTCCCATTTATGTTGTTCAGTACAGGAGCTCAAATCAAAGCCAGACAAAATTCGAAGAGTGTTTTCATTGACTGGTTCTGAACAGTATGGCATTTGCTCTGAATTAATATCAAAAACCTGGCTGAGATGGTGTGACTACTTCATGATTGTTTTTGTGCCAAGTAACAGCTTTGGTCAACACAGTAAGAACAATTTAAGAACATATTTTCCGAAGGCCAAGAGAAACCCCTTCCTGTTCAATTTAACAAACATTAAACCACTTATTTAGTGATGTTTTTCAGAGCCACATCACCTCAGTTAAGGGTTAAATAGAGGGAGCCTAAAATTTATAGCAGAAGTGACTGAACTGTTTTTGGCGCAGCTTATTACAAAATGTGGCTCTAGGCTGCAACTGTCCCAAGACTGCCATTGTGTATTCCAGACACGTTGTAAAACTTACAATCTCAGACTTGCCTCCCTATTTTAGTTTTTCTTTTTTTTCACCCATACTCCCTTTTGGCATAGTATACTTTAACGGTAGGCTGCGTCTTTTTCTGATTAATCATGGTGGCAAGAGAACAAATTAAAAAAAAAAATCTTAATTGCTATACTGCGAAATTATTAGTGCTGGAACAATTCCAGAGCAGCCCTGTATCAAAATAAATTCTGGCCATCCCACGTCTGCTAAGAAGGCAAAAAAAAAAAAACCCATAGGAAAATTTTGAAGGGGTAATATGTTAGAATATACTTAAAGGCAGAGATTGTCCCTCAAGTGATGCTGTTTCTCAGCAAGGAAATTTTTTTTTTTTGTTTGGAAACACTTGATTTACCTCCATATTCGTATTTCAGTATGTTGTCTTTTCTACACTGCCAGTGTTGCTAAGGCTAAAATTGGAAGGAAGATACCAGCTGCAGCATGAAACCATCATATCTCTGCATCTAGTTTTAATAACTCAAATGCAGTTCTGCAAATATCTGCTTTGTCAGCACACACATGTGAGTATCATCACTTAAGCCATCCAGAGCAGATGTGCTTTGCTAGAACAAGACAGAAAATGTGCTTTTGGTTTTCATATGATAGAAGGGCAAGAAAGGTAAATAGAAGTTAGTTATTCTCATATGGTCTTCTCACAGTTCGGGAGAGAACAAAAGGCATCACAAGATTGAAAACAACTTGAATTCTTTACATAATATTTTTCATAAAGTTTTTTTTTTTTAATTTAATTGGACAAAACGGACCTCTGAGGGCCACCTAGTCATAACACCTGTTCAAAGTACAGCTAAATCCTGATTAGTCAATGCCTCCTTCAACCAAGTTCTGAAAATCCCAAAGGGTAGGCAGTTTGTACGCATTATCTGCAGACTAACCATGACTGTAAAGGTTTTGATAGCATTTGCACATAGAAAATAAGACCAGAGATATTACAAAAAGAGAAGCAATATAAACAAATTCATGCCTAACCAATGGAAGATATTCCATAGATACAACGAGATCAAGATAATTCAGATTATCTAGGTTGTAAGTGAGAGAAATGGTTCTTTTAGGGCTGTCACCAAGTTGATCCTTGTAAAGCAGGCATGATATTCCAAGTCCTCAAGATCAAGGAGGCTATCAGATTGAAATAGACAACAGATAACTATCAAGGTTTTCCTTTGCACCATTTTAAGATGCAAGATTTTCCTTTATTTTATGTAACACGGTGTGTTAACTCTTGAACAGTGCTTCACTTTATCTTTGCTTTCTGCAATAGTTCTAGTTGACTCAGACTCGCCACACCTAAAAAAAGTCAGAAGTCTTAATTAAATCTCTGCTAGCCTCATCAAAAGTCAACCTTCTGAATATCTTGCAGCTCACAAAGCTACTTCTACTAGCACTGAGCATTGTGTACTTTCCATCTAAAATGTACTTTTAAAATTAGAAAAAAAACCCACTTTGAAAATTGATTGAATCTCATCGCTGTTTCACACACACTTAGTAAACAGAGCCCTTAGCACTTAACAGTGTAAAGCAAGTTTTCTCTTCACACTCTGCTCCCATAAGAGTGCATAAATACTAATTACCAGTCACAAGGTATAAGAAGGAAAATAGAATAAGTTTTGCTATCTACTCCCTGCCATCTGGCTGCTCAAATAACAGGGTGACCCTTGAGATTCTCTTTTCTGCTTCCACCTGTTTAAGTAAGCTTCAGACTACAAGAGAAGTTTAATACAGTAGACTAAAGCCTCCATACAAAGTATCTTGATGTGAAGGGCAGTTTTGCAGAGGTTCCTTTATGATTTCACTTTTCACACACAATTCTGTCCAGTAACTCCTTTTGGTATCAATACCAATTACCACAACGTCAAGTATGGCCTGTATTCCACAATTACTGAATCAATAAGAGTAGCTCTTAAAACAATCAGAGCAGCATTACCTTGAAATACCACACAACTTGTTTATAACAGCGGTTTTATGAAGACAGTAAGAAACTGGCATCTTACATGGCGAGTAAGAGACTAGGCAGCTGAGCAATCTCTACCTGGAACACCCTGGGTAGTTTACAGCATTACAGCCATAGAACACTGCAAGAGCTCTGCTTCATACATTTTAGAGTTTAAGCTGGTTTCCCTTCTGTTTCAGGTTGTTGGGGTATTTCTGTCAATAAAAGCGAAAAGCAGCAAGCAGAATAAAAGCCTTCTTCTTCAAGGTCTAGTCACTCCAAAATTCAGTGGCAAGGTAGTTAAGTCCTCCTTACCTTCAGAATTATTCTAGTATCTTCTTTACTAGAGCCTCCATCTACTCGAGTCACTCTATATTCCAACCACTGCTGAACGACAGCTTTCTCTTCCGCAGTACTTCCAAGCAGTTGGTCCTTCTTAGCCTGTTTAACTAGGTGGGCAGCTATAGTCATTAATCCTGTCAGACCAGGACCATTGTTTGTCTGAAGAACGGGAACCTAGAACAGGAAACAAAAGTGTAATGCTAAACAAATAATTCAAAAAGCAGTATCTATAAGAATAGTTATTATTGTTTTATAGCCCCTCAGCAGGGTCTTAAAAGCAATACATGAGAATTTAGAAGTCTTCATACTAAAGGTAGTAATAAAAAAAGAAGTATGTTCTCTTTTTACTCTTTGGGGTGGTTTATTTCCAGTTTTTACAGACGAAATGTATTTAACATGTGCATGTGGACAAACCAAGGCACCTTAAGCTCCAACTAATCAAATTCTGCCAATAGTAGCAAGAAGTAGTATTGCTCATTCTAACACTGGCAGAAATCTTATTAACTAACTTTTAAATCATTTTCAAATTCAGGAATCTGACTTAAGATTGTAAAGTCAGTCGCACCCAATTTGTCTCTGAGCAGATTGCAGTAGCCACTCACTGAAATGCTTATTCACGTTTACTGTTCTATTGCCAAATACTCTGACAGACCATTAGTACTTCACTGGTATCAGGGGAGGACAACACACCACACCTCTAGTTTTAGCCATGTATTTGTTAGTGACATTACCACGTGTTAAGCTGTGGGAAAGGAAACTGAACCACTAAGAGTCAGAAGCGAAGTGAATGAATTGAAACTCACTACAACAGACTAAAGCCCAGTCATTTACAACACCAAATGATAGAAGAGAAACTGATTAAAATGCAGTACTTTTTAAGTGCCTGACCACATAGAGAAGCCTGTCTATGTTCAGATTTAATTAACATAAGAGGTAAGCTGAAAGCATAATATTAATTTTGCAGTTGTACCAAGAGTCTCTGACTACTATTCAATTTTTCCATTAAACATGCAGTCAGAAAAACTATGGACAGGTCTAGTTACTTGACTTTTCAGACCTATGCTTTACAGTAATAGCATTAAAATACCAGTTAGATTGTTAAATAATTAAGGAAGCTTTTGCAATCTAAGAATGCATACATTGCTACTCAGAACTCCAATCATAAACGGTAAATAAAGTCAGCAAAAAACCCGTACAAAAACATAAGCCAGCTGCACAGCTTCTTTTTGCTGTTGTCCCTCTCTGAGATAATCACATAAAGGCCCTCACATGTGATGCCATCAGCCCCACGTTACATTTTTCATGCCTCAGGTACCTCTTAAACCATGAAACCAAATGTTTCCATACAAACTTCAAAATGTCAAGACGTCTACTTTAAAAGAGCAAAAAATTTAAGGGCAACCGTTTTTTACTACAGATGCGTTTCTGATATTAATAGTGCATCTTTTTCCACATAATTTAACCACACCAGCACAGATGTAATTTGCACTGGCACCAGGAAAAGGCAGGGGGAAGGAGAGCGGTGTGAAGATAAGTAAGTTTTAAGCCAACATCCCTCCAACGACACAGGATAAGTCTTCCACAGGCAGAGGCAAGAGGCTTCCAGAA